TCACATGTCCTTTTCTTGGCTGTAGTTGATTAAGTCCCCCAAAGACTGCGCAGAAATAGTTACTTCTCTACTCTCTAAAGGTTGTGTTTTGATGTCACATAAATTTAACTCAACAGTTAAATAGGAAATTATGGACTACTTGCTCTCTGGACCCTTTGCCTTTGAATGCTGTCTATGCTCTGGAGCATTTACTTTAGTTAAGGAAAAGTGAGGAAGAAAGTTAACATGACCATGGGCTGAATGTTTTATCCTCTCAAAATTAAAATTTGAAGATAGGGCCTTTGGGAAGCCATTAGGTCATGAGGCTGGATCCTTCATTATGAAATTAGTGCTCTCATAAAAAGAGACTTGAGAGCTAGTGGACTCCCCCCATGCCCTTCCTCCTTTCTCCTTCTTTCTCTGTTATTTGAGAAAACAGGGTGAGAACCCTTACCAGACCTCACTATGTTGTTACCTGATCTTCCACTTCCAATTTCTAGAACTGTGAGGAATAAATGTTTAAGCACCTGGTATGTGGTATTTTGCTATAGGAGCCCAAAGTAGGACGTATGTATAAAAAAATTCATATAAGGCAGATATGCAAATATCAAGCTTTTTGAAGCCAGTGCCAACTCTTCTATTTTTTAGGAACTGTTGCTAATTCTCAAGGTCTGTTAGGCATTTGGGCAGTTTTTTTGTGAGTGCCCTACAATGCTTTCATTTTCAAAAGAGCAAAGAGCCAAAGTATCACACCACCTCTTGCCTCATTCTAGCTGTAGCTTAAATTGCTCTTGAGGCAAATCAAACTAACATTTGATCAACTGGTTTTATTCCTAAGAATAACTAGGTTAATTTTCCTAATGGTTACTACCAATGGGAAGATACTTCTTCACTTCTTAAGGTTTTGAAGACATGGTTCCCTAGGAGGAAAAATATGCCACAACCTGACACATCAGTGTAGCATTCATGTGATTCCTAGAGTGGAGAAATGGTTTTGGAAACAGATGGACTGAGGACAGACATTTTCAACAAATTAAGCATTTAAAATGATGCATTATCCTCAGTCATCTGGAATTTTCCATAAATAATTTGTGTTAATTAAAAAGATTTTGCGAAGTGTACACATACATACATAATAAGAAATAATAGTTAAAATATTAATAAGTAAGATAAATACTTGTAGCATATACAACTTATGTAAGACCTCAAATAATTATTAAACTAATAATGGCAGATACCAGTATGGAAAGGCCAAACCATGCTAAGTGTGCCTTATAGGTATCTTCATTGAACGGCCTTTTCCTGACTTTAGTTAACAAAGTCCCTTACCTTACAATAACTTTCTGAAGTAGAAATTATTTATCATTTTTACAATGAAATAAACAAGATTCGGGAAGATTAAATAAAGTGTCCAAGGTTGTGTAAGTACTGAGTAGTAGAGCTGAGATTTAAACCCAGAACACTCTACTTCAGGTTCAGGCTTTGATTACTATACCCTATTACTTCCTCCCCACATCTTCTCCTCAAAGAACCTGTTTTTGTGCATAGCCCTTGGTTCAGAGAGATACTATGGAAGAGAAAATGTTACATTTAACTATCAAAGGAAGTTATTGGGAAGTCTACAGATAAATAAGTAAAGTAAAAGAAGAACTAAAGATTAAGTGAGTTTGGCAGTATTATCTTCACACTTATCTCTCCAATGATTCCTAGCTGACCTAAGCCTTTGGTTTCTCTGCCTTCCCCCCCTTGATCCTTCTTTACTCCTCTGAAGAAGTCATCATCAACATCTCTAAGACTCAAAACTTAAGTGCCAATACTTTGCACTTAATTTTTATGGTCATTCATCACTGGAGACCTGGCATGCCTTCTTCAAAGAGTACAGCCTGTTAAGGCTTGTGTCTAGATGTACCCTGAAAGCCTCATGCAGTCATAGTTGGGGCTTTTTCCAGAGGTAGCTGGATCTAGAGTGTGTGATACTGGGATTGATTCATGGTGCAATGCTAGGATCAAGGGCATTAAGGGTGTGTGATTACTAAATCAGTCTCCTAATTAGTTTGGCACTGCCCTAACCCAGTAGCCTAGATAAAACATACAAAGGATAGAAAGAAGTTGCTAAGGTCTCTTGCTCGCTTTGCTACCTTCTGCCCACTATGAACTATCTTTCCTCTGCACTTCCCCTCTGCCATGCCACCCTGCCCTGGAGCCATCCAATTATGGACTGAAACCTCTATGAACTGTGAGCCAAATAAACCTTTCCTCCTTTAACTTTGGGCATCAGGTATTTTGTTTCAGCAACAAGAAAAGTAACTAAGACACAGCCCAAGTGTTTATAAATCATTTCCATAAAACAGGGAAAAGTTGATTTTGCCTGAACAGTTATCATTAAATCTCCTTGCCAAAAAAAATCACAGATATGTAGCTGCTGCCTGGTTCAATAAATGCAGGGATTATAGAGTTTTTGCTTCCAGATCTCAAATTTCCAAGTACTTTCAAAGCAAGCCTCACAGACAATGGCTGGCTCCATGTAACTGACTCAGGAGATAAATTTCTCCATTAATATCCCTCTTAGTTGGGCCTTGAAACCTGGGAGAGATTTTAAAAAAACTCTTCTCGGGCTGGGGATTTAGCTCAGTGGTTCCAGTGCCTGCCTCACAAGCACAAGGTCCTGAGTTCGATCCCTGATACCAAAAAAAAAAAAAAAAAACCAACCAAACAAACAAAATTACTCTTCTCTCATTCTGTTTGAGCACTTGTTTATGAAAGTTTCTACTTTCTCCCTATTTTCTGTCTCAATGTATTGGCTAATAATCCTTGAGCATTCAAACTTAAACTCTGGCAATAAAACCTAAGCTTTTAAGGGTGTGATTTCTTAGAACGGCCCTAGGAGATGGATGCCCTTGAAAAGATTGCCGTAACTTTCAGTCACTTGTCCAAAGTGTTTTAGCAGCATTTAGTGAATTGGAGTGTCTGGCCCCAGCACCTGCTCTTGCCCACTCAAAGGCTGGCCTTCCAGGGCTAGGACTTTATAGGCTTTAACATTCTTTGTTTACCTTTTGGTTGATTCGTCCCAGGATATATTGTTGGGGTGTTTGGATTCTATAACCTACATGAATGGAAAAATAAAGACCAGGTGAACAAAGTGAAGGGCAGTGAAAACATTGGATGCCTTCTGGGCAGCAGCATCAGTTATTCCAATAAGGTGGACATTGTAAGGCTCTGCTGTACTGAGGTATAGGGAAAATGTGGATACAAGGAAGTAAACAGGAAGTGAGGCTATGGGACCAGATTTAGAGGGATTCAAGTTGACTCCTCCCAGGAATCTCCTCTTTCAACTTTTGGAAGTGAGGAACTTACCCTTTCATCTTTGCTTCCAAAGGTTTTGCCATGATCCATTAATTTCATTCACTCATTCATTCAGCATATATCTTGACACAATAATTAGATACACACTTCTGTGCTTGACCTGGGAAACACCGTCAGGAATCAAACATGTGCCTGACACAAAAGGGCTTGTGGTTCAGTGCGGGCAGTGAATGGAAAGGCACTGCAAAATGATGACAAATAGCAAGGCATATAATCTGAAATAACATGAGCTTCCATACATCTGCAGTGCACACACACACACACTCACAGCCAAACCAGCTAATTTCTCTATCTCAGTTTCTATGCAATTTCATGATCATTGGGAGTCATATGTTATGGTTTTATGTCTAGATGTCTTCCCAAAGCCTCATGCACTCATAATGAGGCTTTTAAAAAGTGATTGAATCATGAGGATGCTGTAGCTAACTCTGATGTTAGGAGGTGGGGCCTGGTCAGAAGACAGAGGTCACTGGGGGTGTGATCTGGCATGGTGTATCTCCCTCCTTCTTTGTTTCCTGGTCACCATGATGTGAGCAGCTTTTCTTCCACTGTGTTCAGCCCGCCACCTGACCACAGGCTGAAACCTCTAAAAAACATGAGCCAAAATAAACTCCTTTAAGTTCTGGATGGTGAGTATTGTGTTCCAGCAACAACAACAAAAAAAAATGACTAAGACAGTGTAGAAATAATGCTCCTAAAATACATCACAGAGTTTCCACTTTATTATATGTATTCAATAAATGCTATGCTTTATGATTATTATGTAACTATCTAGTAAAGAATAGTTGCACTTTGTTGTAATATTTGAGATAATGGAAATTTAGTCTATGAAAACGAATTCTGTGGTGACCATAAAGATTCAAAGAACCAAGAGGTCATAAAAAATGTAAATGAAAATGTAAGATTGATGAATAAGATGCAGATGGAGAGGAGTTCTAGGCAAAAGCACCAGCTCATTCAAGGCCATGAGAAAGGATGGGACCCTCCCTGAAGAGTATTATGGGTGCTGCAAAAAACAAAGCAAAACAAACTATTTGCATCAGGTGCTGTGAACATGTCTATAACTCAGGCCATCTGCAAGGCTGAAACACAGGGATTGAAACTCAAGGCCAGCCTGGGCCCCTCATCCCTTGAGATCACTCAATGCATGAGTTTCAAAAGTATCTGCTACGTTTCAAAAGTTGATGTGAATAATTTGAGTTAACAAAGGCGATTTATAAAGTCAGGTCAACAAGCTTTGAATTTTTGCCAAAGGATGAAATATTTTCTATAGAGAGGAAAGGAAGGGGTAGAAAGGTAAATAATCAATATTCTAAATATACCAGTTGATCCTGTTCTTTTCTGTATTAATAGTATTCTCATTCCCTGGTTGATTTTTTTTTTTTTTTGCTCTCAAAACACAAGAAAAACAAAACAAGAATGATGTTGATGTGCTCTTTCACTTTCCTGAACTGATATAGCAAGGAATGTGGAACTGGGCTTGGAGAAAGTTGATGTTCTGGCCAAATTGCTCTTACATTTTTTAAAAAATTAAATCATAAAGATCTTAACATTTGCAGTGTTTCTACTGTAGTTACTACCTTATGCCAATAGTGTGTCAGATTTTGAATGATTTGAGAATGAAATACCAACTGCGGAGGCCAAAATTAATCCTATGAGCCCATTATAACATTTATTTCCCATCGGACATGACCTCCCACTAAGGAATGAGTCACTCAGTGCTTTGGAGGGTTGACAAGAAGAAAGGGCTGGTTGTTCCCATTTCATATCCACAGTAGAGTCCATTTTGGCTCAAAGATGCAGAAGAAATCACTGAAAATTAAAAAACAGTGAAAGTTTAGTCAGATGGCTATGAAGACTGGATGTTCCTATTGAATTTTTAACCATTTTAGGCTTTAACTATTTTTTTTTTTTTTTTGGTGATAAGTATAAGGGGTCTTATCTCTTACTGAAAACCTTTCTGAAATGTGGCAGGCTAGCCTTGTGGGTTCCATGCTGGAAACACAGTGAATTGTCTGACGTTTCAAGGTCCCTTGATCATATCTAAATGCTCCTTTTAAGCAACTGTTGATTTAAATGGTAGAAGGGCAGACACTCATGTACATTCCAAGTTATACCAAGAAGGTGGTTTTATTATTTCTCCTTTTGATATGATTATGACAAAGATCAGATGAAAACGTCTATTTGCTAAACAACTACTATGTGCATGGCTCATTTAATTTGGACTGAAATCTGGCAATGGGAACTTATTGCATCCTCAGGCTCTTTCTTCTAAAAGGGCAGTGCAAGAAATGTTCTGCCTAGTAGCTCTGACTTTCCACTAAATGAGATTTGATCAGTCAAGGAGTCACCAAAGAGTAAAAAGTGTTCTTTTTCAGGCACACATGAAAATCATATAATTACCTTAACCCACCAGTCTGAATGCCTGGATTCTGCCTTTTAGATCTAAGGCAATAATACCTTACAGTCTTATATTACAAGATACACCTGACAGAAGACATGAACCATGGCATCAGACCAGAGGTTGTAAAGCTCGTATTTTACAGCAGAGGGCAGCCGATGCCTATGAAAGGAAGAAATTGCCCTCCTGCTTGGAAGATCTTAAAAGTACACTGATCTCAAATGTATGTTGATCTCTGGCTCTCTTTCTTCAGATGCATTTTTCTGAAAATTTTTTATCTATATTTAAAATAGAATTGATAGATGAGTCTCAGTAGGTATCATCTTGAAAAGAAAATGTTGATGAAAAAATTGATAAAACAAACCCTGCCAAGGACCTTTTTACGTGGCCTTTCCTCTAGAGAATGGTTCTGAAATACTAGAGAATAATAAATCCTATTTTATTTGAATTTTTTGCAGTATTCTTTTATAAATGATAGAAAACTGAAAGCATGTAAGAAAGCACAGAAGACATTAGAATATATGAAGAAGATGCTCATCACTCAGAGATATGAAAACAAGTTGTGTTAGATTTAACTTTGCATTTCTTAGGGACTGAAAAGCTTGTCTTATTTACTAGCAAAATCTGGCTAAAACTTATGAACGATGGAGACATGGCAGAAATGTCAGAAGCTCAGAACTATCATCCTGTGCTTATTGTTTAATCATTAAAAGACCTTGAAAATATTGCCCTATCTACATAGCAAGGAATGCTGTCAGATCAGACAGTACGGATTCTTAACCTTGACTCTGCCTGCTCCTTGCTTTATAGAATGTGGACAAGTTTTTCAAAGCCTCATATTTCTCACCTATGAAATATGGATTCATAATTCTGCCTATGTTACAGAGGATAAGAATTCTGAGTAAATCATATACACAGCATTTAACACAGCATCTGTCACATTATATATGTACAAGATTAACCACCTTAGGATTCTATTAGGTTCTTTCAGCTTGAATTGAGGAAATTAGAAAAGATCTGTAAGTGCACTGTCAATTGAAACAGCTGAATTTTGTGTGTATCTAGGCTTTGATTGCTAATACCCTAACCAGGTGTATGAATCAGAGAGGATCCTATATCCTTAACATCAGACATTGAAATAGGCACTGCAAATAGATGGTATAAACTTAAATTTTCTTATTGGGTATAAAACATCCCCAGGGCCACAAGCTGATAGCTTTTACTCTATCTAGTTCTTTAACGTATTTTTCTCCTCAATTCTTTCATGAGGAAGGACTACATTGTATTTTTTGTGTTCAACTAAATTTAATTAGAAACATTTATTGGGTCCATAAAATGTATAAGGTACTTGCTAGCCACAGCAGCAGAAACCTGAATAAGATACAAATTTCCCCTATCAAGGGATCATCACCTCATAGAAGAAGTTAAGATATGATAACAAGTGGCCCAAATGTACAAAATAATGAGATGAATGCTGTAAGTAAAGTTTACACAGATCCCTGAGGGGACAAAGAAAAAAAATATTAGGACTGTAGAAATGAGTCCTCAAAGGTGAGTAGAAGTAGGATGAAATGAGGTGGGCATGGGGTTACAAGTAGAATGTTCTAGACAGAGAGAAGGATTTAGAAACTGGAAAGGCTGGGACCAGGGATTTAGCTCAGTGGTTTCTTCGCCTGCTGCGCAAGGGCGAGGACCTGAGTTCGATCCCTGGTACCAACAGCAACAAAAAAGAAATTGGAAAGGCTATGTTTGTTTATCCGGATGGGATATACAAGAGATATGAGGGGGGAGACAAATTGGGGCCAAATTGGGAAGGGCTTTGAAAGCTAAGTGAAGGACTTTAAGATTGCTGAGGAGTGGTGAGATGAGAATAATGCTGTAGGGGGCAGTGTGGGGAATGGATTGGAGGTAGAGAGTAAACAGGAACAGGACACTGTTGGTGAGTGGCTTCAGTTTACAAAGTGTCACAGCTGAGCTGTGACCCAGTGGTAGGAAGAGGATATGGAAGGTGACAGGTTGAATTGTTCATTCATTCCAGTTTTGTTAAATGCCTACTCTGACCAGGTATACCCTCATAAGTGGACTTCAAAGAGAAATCAGAAGATCCCTGCTGGGAGTGGGAACAAGGTAGCAATTTAGATGCTGCCCAGATTTCCAAGATGCCTATTATGGTGGGGAAGGGGTGTTTAGTGAAGAAAGAAGGGAGGTAGAGGACATAATGCCATTAACAGAGAGCCTGCACTGGAGAAGAGGAGGATTTAAAGGAGGAGGATGAAGTCATTTTGGAATGGAATCCTACATCTAAATCTCAGTCGGTGGGTGAACAGATGGATGTGGCGATTCACACATGTAATCCCAGCACTGCAGGAGGCTAAGGCAAAGGGATTGCAAATTTGAATCCAGTTTGGCAATTTAGTGACTTAAGCAAGACTTTCTCTCGAAATAAAAATAAAAACGGTTAGAGAAGTAGCTCACCCGAAAGGTCCTGGTTCAATCTCAGTACCACAGAAGGGGGGGGGGAAGAAAAGAAAAAGAACAAGCTAGTGTACCAACACATGAATGAATGGACAGAGGAACTGGACATTTGCTGGCTTCCATGGTTTGGATTCCTAAATTCTCTATCATCAGTCTTTGCTTTAGTCTGTCTGAGCAAGTCAGTCTATCAACATTCTAAAATATTTTAACTAAGAGCAAAGAAAGAAATAGAGCAAAAAATATGATTTAGTTGTTAACTCTAAATCTGCATGGCAAAGTTCAGAATTATAGGATCAGGAGCCAAAATGTCAACATTTGCAAAAAGAAACATTCCATCTGTAGCTTTTTATATCATCTTTTATATTCTATCATTTCAACTTTTAAGAGAAAATTCAGTCATTCTGGATTTAAATTGCTCTATTTCTAGTGTTTTGACTTGTTATTTACTTCTGATGTAATGCCAATTCTCTGTTTCTCCATACCTGTGTGTGTGTGTGTGTGTGTGTGTGTGTGTGTGTGTGTGTAAGTGGGAGAGGGAGAGAGAGAGAGAGAGAGAGATTTCATACTGGATTATTTCTTGATTGGTAATTAGAACAAGTTTCTTTCCACAAATACTTTTAAAATCACATTTGCTCTGCTATGTCATTCTCAAATTTTTATCATTATTGGTGCGAGATTTCCCTCATGAGAGCTGTAGACCCTAGAAATGAAGCATGAAGTTCCCACCTATTCCTGCTATCCTGACCCAGTCTGAGTCATCCTAGGATTCGAGGGTGAAGAGGACTGGGCAGAATGATGTCCACAGGTCCTGGATAAGTTCACTGTACAAGAAAGAGCCTGGAACTTGTGCACTGTGACCTCAGAAGATCTCTCTGTCAAGGCTCAAGCTGCCCTTTCCCTCATGCTCTTGAGCATCACTGTGGATTTCAAGTCCCTTTCTCTCCAAGTCATTCAGGCTGTGATATGGCTGCGGTGCAAAGGCAAAGCCTAAATCAATGCACTGACCACCCTGAAGGGAAAGCCCCCCTATGTGGGAGGCTTTAGATAATGACAAAATATCTCCGATCATCTAAATCACATCCTTATGGCGTTGTAAGAAGAATGTGGTAATTCCTACTGTAATGTGGTTTTAAATAGAAAACCTGTAGGGTCATTTCATCTAAACATCTATCTCAGAGAGAAGCTGAAAATGAGGTTGTCACATTGCATGGGGTCTGGTAGTGAAGAATAATTCTGATATGGCTTGTTCCACTGGAAACAAGAGCATCTGTCTACCTCCCTGGTACAAGTCCTTGGCCTAGGAGAAAAAGCCACAGGTCAGAAGCCTCGTGCATCTGCCTTCAAGTTGTGCAGCTAGAACATTATTCCTGCTCTTCACTGGTTTGGGAATGGGTATGTGAGACTGAGTTCCAGAAGATTAGGGTCAGGTCATGTAGCACAGGGTATGCAGCACTGAGACTAGGTGCTCTCTAAAGTCTGCAGCCACACACCCAAGTATTCTGCATCTCAGTTTTGCATGTTTTTCTGGACACAGGTTTCTGACCTGTCATTAAATATACAAAGGAGTTCCAGCATTTTGTGGATGGCAGAAAGAGAGCACACATTCTAGGAAATGGAGATCATTATTTTGTAGAGGGCCAGCCTAGAATGAAAGAGAAGTCTCTGGTACACAGTAGGTTTCAAGTAAGCAATACCCCCTTTCCAGCTAGTTCTACCCCCACATTACTGATGTAGTCTACAGTGAGTTAATGTACTCTAGAATAAGTCATGTGTCTTTTCTAGGCTTCCATCTGTTATTCAAAAAATGGATAGAAGAGTTTTTCAAAGTGTGCTTTAGAGACAACCAACACCAGAATCTCAACAATGCTTATGCTAGTACAGAGTTCTAGGTCTTACCTGAGCAGCCGACCAGAATGTCTAGAAATGGGCTGGGAAACTGCATTTTTACTACCTCCCCAGGCCTTTCCTAATGCACACAGTACACAGAGAACTGCTGGGAGACTGGTCTCTGAAGTCCTCTCCAAGAGCATCACTACAGGGCGACATGATCTGAGACAAAAGAAAGTAATCTTGGACAGACTTTGGTTCTCCCATACCCTTTGGCACTACCCCCGTAGTGACCCCTGGATTACTTTTGCTTCACCTCACCACCATTCCTTCTCACATATTCACAGTATCTAAGGCAGGGCCTTTAAGAACTTGTTCTTCTCTTTTCTTGTCCTAAGTCTAAACAGCCTTGACTGTAATTATTTCCTTATATTTGCTTCATCTGCCAATCCATGCAGGAGTCAACTTGCAAGAAGTGTTTTGGAGCCTTGAAAAGATGTTCATTTGGGAAACTTACCTTTGTCAGAGTGCCAGGTCAGAGAGAAGCAGGTGAGGTTGCTCCTCAAACTCAAATCATTACTCCCTCCCAAGAAAAGGTCAGTTTTCTAGAGATAATGACTAATCTGAGGAAATAAGTCCTCTGAGGGAATTTTAGACCTAACAGTAAGTGTGGAGGGCACCATCCTGGCAGAGAGCGGGGGAACTAAATTTTGAAAGGCATGACTTTTTAGAGTTTGGGGAATTTTATTATTAGATAGGTGCTCTTATATGAGATCAATTCTCCTTACCAAAAAAATGGACTTGGTTCTACCTAGTTTTATGGTAGGAGATTCAGGTAAAATACCTTGAATCTTGTGAAGAAACTCAAAATACCTAGAGACCAACCTGAATTTTCATTTACTCTCTCCCAAATGCATGTGAAAGTGCAAGGATTTCCAGGGTCCTAACTAAACATATTCATATTTTCTAAGTCACATACTCACCTATTGTCTGAAATTTTTCTACAGTCACTCAGATTGCAAAAGTTATGCACATAGAGGCTATTTCTCCTTGCCTCAGAGGAGCTTGATTACAAGAGTGTGATGTTCACTGTAGAATTTTCTCCCAAGACTCTATTACATTCTCTGTGTAGTCAGTACAACCATAGTGATTTAGAAGCATGCAAAAGATCCTTGTACAGAAGCCCAATTACCAGGCTCTGAAGATTACTTTCTTTTTACTTAAGATAAGAACATTAATATATGATTTTCTTGGATAAAATATGAACTGACCCTGTTTGAGGTGTGGTGAGGGCAGATTTGGAACTAATCAATCCCATCTATTTTAGAAATTGCTTTTGAGATGACTTTGTGCCACACATGTGAGTGGGTGATCATAGGTCTGAGGTAAAGCCCCTATTAGTTTTATCAAATAAATATATTGTACCAATAACAACAACGCCAACCTAACAGTACTTATTTGGAATTTGATGCTCATCCTGATCAGAGGATTGAGTATACGGCTAGGCTTGAAGTTGCTAGAATAAATAAAATTCCTAAGTTTATGTTAATGAGGCATATGAATAATAACTAATATTTATTGAATCTTTAATATGTATAAGGGCCTGAACTGTTTGTTTATCTAACATTATCTAATTTCTTGTATTGGTACACACTTATTATTTCCATTTTTACAAATGCAGAAGCTGATATTTAGAGAAGTTCGATAACATCTAAAATCAGTCAGATACTGACCAATTGGTGGATGCAGAACTCAAACCTAAAATCTGCACTCTTAAAATAGTATGAAGTACAGTTTGTGAACATATGAAAAACCAACTCAAATCCCATTATCAGAAATTACTATCTGTAATATTACTGCAACATTGTTTTCCAGATTTTCCCTGTGAATGTTGTCTATAGCATTTATTTTTAAATGCATACGTATGTATCCATTTTTTTGTAATCTTTTTTTTTCATTTAACAATGCATGGCCTAGAAATATTGCTACGTAAGAGGAGTTTTAATGAAAGACAGCTCAACAGTCTGGTCATTGTGAGTGCGCCCAAGGTTTGGCATCACCCAAGTGCTTATCCAGCACTATGCCCACAAAGCACCCAGGGCAATAGTTTCATAAAACACATAGTCAGGCACCCATGTAGATATCAAGACCACAAAGTCTGATGACTTTCAAATTTACTCCAGCACATTCTCACATTCCTGTATTTTACAGACAAAGGTATTGAGCCCAAGAATTACCACCCTCCACCTTCAGGGAAGTGAAAAATCAGGGTTGTTTTCCAAGTAACATGATGCCCCACAGCTGGCCCAACAGCCAACGGTGCCAACCAGCGCCACCCCCTCCTCCTCCTCACCACTGAATGTCACGTGTGCCCAAGCCAGGGAAATCTGTCCTTTGATAGGATGTATAACTGCAAGAGGGAAGGAGGTTTTATTGGCTTGTGGTTTCGCAGCTCTTAGAATGTTGAATACAGCCTATGAGCTAGCCGCTGAATCTGACACTGTGGTGGTGAAATTGATTAGTTCCTGTTGGTCTCCCTCTTCCGCCAACATCGGTACCTGCCTCCTGACAAATAAATACATGAACACACTCCCAGCCAAGGTCCTCAAGAGCAAGCAATAAAAATGTACCCTGACCCACTGAAATAAATTGTACCAAAAGGAGTTATTGTTTCCATTATTATTTATTAGTCATGTCCCATGGAGTGGTTAGTGAAATAAATATTTTTTCCAGTGGAAAGGGAACGTATATCCTGCAAAGGGTAACTCCACAATCTGATGTAATAACAATCACAGAACAAATATTCTCCCCAGCTCAAGCCAAATCTAATTATTTCTACTCTGACCAAAATTCCTTTTCCAGATCAATGCACTTCTTTTTGCTATTTGATCTTTTCCCAGTCCTGATCTCAGGTTGTTTCTCTTCCCTGTCTCTTCCCTGTCTGGCACCACAAAAAGGTTCTCTAGTAGCTTCTGTCAGATGCCATAGCTTAAGTCCAGATAGTTTTTAAAAAATGGAGCAATCAGGAGACATGCTTAGGATTGATTTAAAAGAATGGCTACTTCAGTATTTTATTTGACATTGGAGGAAATGTATCATTTCGTAATGGTGGTGATATATTCAGCATTGCTGTCATATTAGGATGTCTGAAAACTATTGAGAATTTGATTAATTGACCTCACCCCTGAAGATGACCTGAAAGAAGATGGAATAATTTACATTTATTGATATCTGGTATATACTCAATGATTTGGTAGCTATGAATAGCAGTGTCAAAGACTAATCAAGTGATGAAAAGTATTATCATTCTTTTAGCCGTGGAAAGTAGAGCATTGAAAAAGCAGTCGTTAGTTTTCCAATACTTTTTCCCACTAAAATAACTCATGCAATATTTTTGGCCTTTTTCTATTCATTTCAAAATTACAAAAATCAGAAGGACCTTTAAAATGTAGGTGTTCCTTAACTGATAGCTTCTCCATGAGCCTGGTGGGATAATGCTGAGTTGCCTTTGAAGGTCCACAGAGCTACTTCTTTCTCTTCTTCTTCGCCTCCTTCTCTCTCTCCTTCTCTTCTCCTTCTCTTTCTCCATCTCTTCCTTCTCCTCCTTCTCCTCTTGTTCTTCCTCTTCCTCCTCCTCTTCCTCCTCATCCTTTTATCAGAGTAAGCTTTCTAAGTGTTTGTCAAGTCTATGCTTTAAAACGTCAATCTCTCCCTTGGGTCTTGAGGGTAAAGTAGAAATGTTAAGAGTATAGATTAAAGGGTTCTTATCTGTCTGCCCTCTGCTCATCAATTCTGCTGTCTCCCTTCACTCTTTATTTCACAGCCTCAGTGTGAGCTGCCACAGTTTCCCCTGATGCCATGTTTATACTCATGCCCAAGCCTGAGTACACTCTGGTCCTTCTGCCTGAATCCTACAGCCCACAGTATGGAGCCCAGACTACCAGCCTACCCGTTCTTAGGTCTTCCAGAGGCTACTCCAAGGACACAGATTTCCTGACTGCAGTAGGTAGCAGTGGTGTAAACTTCTCTCCTGCTCTGCAGCTGTCTGTCAGTTGCCAAAGACCTCACCTCCTACATGGTTTATTTTTTTCAGATAACTTTGCAGTAAGTCATACTCTGAGCATTGTGAATAAACACACACACACACACACACACACACTAGCACTTTTGTTTGATAAATAAGACCATTGTCTGCGGTCATTTGTTATCTGTAAATTCGGTGGGATGAATGGATCTCAGGTTATGTTTATCGATGGTTCCTGAGAGGAAGGAGAGTCAGGCACAGAGTAGAATCTCAATAAGTACTTACTGAAAAAAAACCTCATACCTCTTTTATCTCCTCACATTTAAGTTATTTCTCCTAAGTAAAGGCAGTTTTAGCCCTACCTGCATTGACTAATAGGTTCTTTTGTATCTTTAATGTTCTAATCTACTGAAATTGACTATTTGCTCACTTATAATTCTCACTAGACTGTCTTTGAGTTCTTTAATGGTGGGGGCTCACATATCTTATTCAGACACTCTGGTCAGTTTATAATAGGTCTTACTAAATATTTGTTGAATAAAGAAATAATGTTTGGCAATTAAATGGTACTTTATATATACAGTAGACTTAAATCCTCTTACAAGTATTGATATCATTTCCATTTTAAAATTATGGAAGCTAAAGCTCAGTGCATTGCAATAAATAATCCAATTGTAATAAGGAGCAACCTGGAGCTTTTCTGCTCTTGCCATGAATTAAATCTGAAATGTCCTATGTATCCAGAGGTAGGGCTTTTGGAAGGTGATTAGACCACAGAGGCACTATATTCACCTGTGGATTAAGTCACTGATGAGTTCATAACTGAACATGGTACCAGGAGCTTGTGCCTGGTTGGAGGTGGGTCACAGATGTGACTGAAAGGCTGATGTTCTTGTCCCTGGCTCCTCCTTTCTTCCTCTCTGCTTCCTGGCTGCCATGGGATGTGAGAAGCTCTCTTCTACCAGGTCTGGTTGCCATGCTGTTTCTGCTTTGGAGCCAAGCAACCATGGGTTGAATCTTCTAAAAGACAAGAGCCAAAATAATCCTCTCCTCTTTTAAGTTGCTCTTGTGTACTATTTTGTTCCAGTCATGAGAAAGCTGACTAATACACCTCTAGATCCCCATTTTTCCCAATTACTTTGAATAGCTCTTGAATCCATTATTTTCCTAGGACTCCAACTCTGTCATTTTATTCAAATAATGCCAGTAAGAACAGTTTTTTAAGTCCTTTAGTGTCAATATCAGAAATTTTAAGCAGACATATTAGACAAACCACATAATCATGTGTCCCAGAGCAGGTGTGCATGGAGCAGCCTCTGGTGTGGGGTGACCTGAGTTATTATATAGCATTTGTCTCCACCAGGGCAAGGTTGTGGTCACTGAACTTCTCCTTCATAAACTTTGACTCTTGGCCAGTATTCAGTAATTTCTCATCAAAAACTCATTTTATATGGGAGACTTGCAGTGGTACCTTGGTTCACAAACTTAATGTTTTCCACAATTCTGGTTGCAAATCGAATTGGACAAGGACTGAATCAAATGTCGCCATAAGATCAATATTGAACCTAACAATTAGATTTGATTTGGTTCTTGTTCAATTTAGTTTATGATCAGAATCATGGAAAGAATTATATTCATGAACAGAGGTACCACAGTATATCAATAGGCACATTCACATTATTAGAAATCAATTAGCTTGTCTGTATTTTTTTTTTGGTGTTGTTCTAAAATTTTTCCTACTTTTAAACTATATTATCTAATATTGCAAATACTTCTTTCTGTCTTTTTTAACAGTCTTTTTCCTTTCATATTTCTTAGATGCATGTTCAAGGAAATTTCATTTAGGTTTTCTCATTAGTTTATACCATGAAAATCAACATACTAGTTTTTCATGATCCTTTGGTAGCCAAGTGACATGCCCAAGACTATATACCAAGCCAAAGGCAGATTCAGGATTCCAGAATATATCCCTTCTGAACATTTGACCAGGGGTCCCATTTTAGGAGTAAGCATTTGGAGAGTCAACTCTAAGGGAGTTAGTTGGCTTTTGACAGGGAACTCTCTCCACACTGTCGAATAACACCAAAATGTATGCTCTGTTTCTCTGACTTGAAGTAGGAATCAAAGAAGCAATATTCACTTCTAAGATAAGAGCAGGGGTTCTAAATCAGGATATAATTATCCACTTTGCAATTACTGACGTTGTTCTTATTGGTATTTACTTATTTGATGGGCTTCTTCACATTTTAGGATCTTGCAGCTACTAAAGGTAAACAAAACCTTTTGTGTGTGGCTCCTTGAAGCCACCAGGTGAATTACACAGTGAAGAATAGCACTACGAAGTTGATCTCCAAAACATACTTGGGTATTAGGTATTTTTAGGATTTTACTGATTGCTGAAAGTTTCCTATAGTCTCCAATTTGGCACTGTCATGGAAAATCAGAGGAAATTTCTTCTCGGTTGCTGTGAGTTCTTTTAAACATTGGCTCTCTTTGCTCTATGTGAGTGCAAAGAAAGATCCTAAGCCTATGTGTCTCTGTGTATGTTAGTGGGAGCTATAAAGTTGTAGGATGTCTAAAGAATGACAGGAGGCCTGAGGATTTAGCTCACTGGTTCGTCCACCTCCCTCACAAGTGCAAGGTCCTGAGTTTGATCCCCGGTACCAAAAAAGAAGAATGACAGAAAAGTGAGAGATTACCCTGGAAGACCCACAAGAAAGGGCGGGGGGTGATCTGGCATGAGAAGAATACAAAGGAAAGTCCTGAGATGCCATCAATCAAGTATATGAACTGATGGGATTAACAAATTCTTTGGCTGCAAAGATAAGGCCACCCACTCCAACCATGTTTTGGTTATGACATTCATTTTGTCTGTCATGAATTGGTGCAAACTCACAAGTTATAAAACTGTAATGAACCTATCATGCAGACACAGTCTCAGCTATTTTATTGCACTCTCTAGTAACCTCTGAGAGAATTCCTAATCAAAATAAACCCTCATGAATATTGCAAATGCTCATAGATTTTTTGAAATGAAAACTGATTTTAAAAATATTGAGTTAAACAGCTTAGTGGAGCATGGATATTCTTATCACATGTTAATTTTGCCTGTGCAAAAAATGCTTTGGAAGACAGTTTTTCCAGATACTATACACATGCATGAATTATCTCATGGAGCCAACAGTAACTATTCTTGTAAAGACTCTTGTGCTCCATTTTATTTTTCAAGATAGATCTCTAAATCTGACAATGATTGTACTACATCAAATGTGAGGAGCTATTAAAGAAATGTAAGGAAGGGATAAGATACTTAAAGTCTCATGTCAAAGTAGTGACTGGGTGCTTTATAGCAAAGACAACTTTACATCACCGTGGATGCCAACACATGGAAGTGATTAATAGAAATATTTTCAGTGAGAAATGGCAGCATATCTTATGGCCATTGCTGAAATGCATTAAACAAGTTGAACTTTTTGGAGAAAGTGAAAAAATAATATTTGCTAAAAAAATAAAAGCTTTTGGCTGTTGCACAGCAATGTGTAATACTAGTGTTTCTGAGGTTCCAGTCTTTTCAATCCTCTTTATACATGAGCATGTTGGAAACAGCAGATTCCTATTCAAATCACCTTAAAGTCAAGGACTTCATTAAAATCTGTTGGCCTCCTAGAATGATTGTGCTGTCTGGCATTTTATTTATTTGTTTTCAAAATGAAGAAAAGAATTCAGAGCTGGACATGGATCACAGAGTGTATATGCCTGTTGAGAAATTATTTGCTGAAAAATTATTCATATTCCAAAAAAAGCAAAATTGTCCCCCACCATACTTCTTTTACTCCTTAAGCCCCAAATGACCTAAGCTTAAAGATACTTGAAAAATAAAAGTCTCCAAAGGATACTTAACGTGTGGAATGAATTAAGAGGAACCACAAAGGCAGTAAAGTTAATAATTATATAGTAAAAGAATGAAAAATTGGCATGCTTCTGAAGTTAACATAACAAATAGGGAACATGTAAGAAACACACTGCCAAATCTAGGATGTGCTCGACAACAGGAACTTTGAACTACTATTGTACCTATCTTATATGTTAATTCATCTAAATTTGATTTTTCTTTTTTTAAACAGGAAAGTCATAAAAATATATATTTTATAGGTAACAAAAAGCAGTTGGACATTAAATGGCTCTTAGAAAATAATACCTTCATGATTCAAATGTAAATGAGTCAGAAACATATGGATTAGATTTCCTTTAAATGTGTTCAAATATTATGAGGGTAGAACACATTTAGCAAATGTATTGGAAGTTTTTCAGAAATATGATGTCTAAACGTAGACTTTAAAACCTTTAGGAAGCCTGGATTCTCCAAATACTTGGTGATTGGCTTCAGTAAGTACACGCTATAGTCATAGATGGTCTATTTAATATTTCTTTGATGATAGGAGCTTCATCTAAGAAACACTTACCAACACAAAATGGAAACTGGAGATCCATCTGTAGAGCAAAAAAAAAATTTTAAATCTCCTATGTATGTGAACTGAGCAAGGCCAATTGCGGACGGTGAATTTTGATTATGTATTGACTTTTTTAAAACTCTAATACACTTTCAGACTTTCGATAGCTATGTTGAGCTATCCAGTGACTTTCTTTTGTATACAATCACTTCCAATGAGATTAAAAACAATTTACTAACTCTAACCCAGAGGCACCACGTTCAGAAGAAATGCTGGTGTCTCATCTCAAGCCTCCTGAATGACAAGAGCTACCGTTTTAGAAGTCTGAAATCAATGAAGGTAAATGAAATATAGTTTGGAACTCTAGAAATAAAATGGTGTAGGATTCACAGTTTCCTGTGACTATATATTAGAGATACATGTCAATACCACCAGATATGATTTGGACCAGCAAATTGTGCCCTTCATTCGTGTTCTGCATTGCAGTTAACCCTCAACCACTGTCCATAAATTCCTTGCTCTCTCTATTGGGTGGTCCAGGTGAGACTGTGAGAGAGGTCAATGCACATTCATCTTCCTTGCCTGAAAAATGAATCAAGATTCGTGGTCCACTACCACAATGTGAAGGACAGTATTATTTGTGTAATAAGTTTGTGATTATCTGTTTTGGACCTCACTTCACTACAAGATCTTTCAATTTATTTCTTGATGATGCTGCATTATAAAGAATTCTTTCCTAATCATCTCATTTTTATTTTATCTGGCAGAAATACAAGGCTTATGAGAGCTTTCACTATATCATGGCTCTTCGTACATTCATTTTTTTTCTCATCAGTGCAGAACTGTTCAGAATTGAGGCTCCCCTCCAACCTTCAGAAAATATATATATCTTTGTGTGTCCATAAATATGGGATTGTAATATTTACTTTTAAAGTACTCATGGATGTTTGGGTTTTTCAGATTTATTTTCAAGCTTTCCTTTTTCATAAAAGAAATTCTCCCTAGAGAAATATTTCTGTATCTACACTTTTTCCACTATAGGAAAGAGAGTAAGACTTTATAAACCAGTGGTGAAATGCTTCCCCCCAAACATAGAAAAGACATAAAAAGTGTGACAAAACAAATTTTTGAATACCATAAAAACAACAAAAAATAAAACTGTCCCTTGATTTTTATGGTAACTTCAGGCAGAGAAAAATTAGTATAAGAAAATCTTTTTTACACTTGAACTTAGCCAAGAGGCCAAGGAGGGATAAGAAAACCTTATTTGGAGAGCAGACCTATTATTTGTTTGTTATGAGTCAAAGGAGATCAGTTTCTGAGACTTAACATTTCAGGTTTGAAAAATGAGAGGAAAAAATATGTAAAACTCCATCACAAAATAAAAGATAGTTTTAAGTGATACACATTATACTAAATATCCAACCCTGCCATAAATGTCTTATTTACTATGTGCTAATATATTTCAGACACCGTGGTGACCATTTAACCCATAGGACAGTCCAATGAGGTACTTGGGAAATTTACTTAAACTATCTCTATGCAGTTTCTTACATTCTAATCAGAATAGTATTCACCTCTTAAAGGAGTTTTGAAGAAGAAATGAGATAATGAATGTAAAGTACTTAACAAGTGCTTGTCATACTGCTTGTCAAACACATAGGAATTGTTACCTCTATAATGTCTCTCCTAAGAGAAAGCAATCAAATCTTGGAGATGTTAAAGTCACAAATTTGTTAAAGTGGCAGCTCTGACAGACTAAGATTTGCCTGACTCCAGAATGTACCCTTGCTATGATCTGAATATGGTTTGTCTCCACCAGAACTCATGTAGAGTCTTGGTCCCTAATCTAATAGTGTTGGGTTGATGCTTTTCTCTTAGAAGTGAGTTTTCGTTCCCTTGGGACTGGATTGGTTACCTGGAGAATGGGTTGTTATCTTCACAAAGGGAAAAGGTTGGCATCTCTCACGACTCTCCTCTGTACACACCATTCACTGCTATTACACCAGCTTCCAACACCATGTTACCATATAGCCCAAGGCCTATGCCAGAAGTGGCTGCCCCATCTAGCCTCCACAACTATGAGCCAAACAAGCTTCTTTTCTTTATACAACATCCAGTACCATGGATTTTGTTATAGCAACACAAAACAGACTAAGACCATTCTCTTAATTCCTAAGATTTGTCTCACAATTATGCACACAAATATATCAGTTCAGAAATTTTTCTATTTATTTCTTAGTATGCCATTAGTGTCTTCTGGGTCTTCTTTACACAGGTCCAATAAAATACTTTTGGTTTTATTTCTAAGAATGTGTCTTTTTTTTCTGTTTCCTTGTTTCAAAGGTAAATATTTTAAAACTGGTGGGTTCTTGTAATTATTTCATCCAAATATGATTATAAGTAAGTTGAAAATATTTCCAGGTAAATCCCTAGCTCAACATTTTAAGGCTGTACCATGGAGATCATGTTCTGCACCAGTGCAGATTTCAGTGAAATGGACCATGCAATTTTATAATCATGTGTATATCTGACTTACCTGAAACCTCATTTAGTCTCTGTGGAAGCAGCAGCTAACATCTGGCTTTACTTTGAAAGTCCACAAAAGGGTCTTGTATGTGAGTCCACCACATAACGTCATCCCAGCCATAGCTGTGCACAGGAGAGGAAACTTAAGGAGTTCTTTCATAGAAGTCTGAGTGGCTTACCATTCACTTACTGAAGTCGCCTTCAGAGAAGGAGGTACAACTCTTGCAGTATGGAAAACAAATATCAACTTCAGAAAGGCACAGCATTTTGAATATGCCCTCGATTCACTCTAGTGACCGTAGCTCTCCTCTGGGTTTGAGAACAGTGTTGGTATTTTATTGTTTGCTTCCATGTGGTTCTGGCTGCTATGGGAACCACCCCTCTGGTATTCTAATGCTCAGCACATTTGACTCACTTTGGGGAAAGGTATAGTAACGCTATGGCACACTTTCAGGAAAAAGCATGGAAAGCAAAACAGAATCTATGACACCCGTAAAATAAAAGGAGACTGTCTGACATCCAAATCAGGCCAAACATGAGGACCTGGCTTGACATTTACAGAGGGGCTCAGTGCTGATGTGTCTAGGCAGTGGTGATCTCCTTAGAGTGGAAGATTCTCTAGTCACACAACCAAACATTTTCTTTCTTTATCCTTTTCCCTTCCTTCCTTCCTTCCTTCCTTCCTTCCTTCCTTCCTTCCCTCCTTCCTTTCATCTTGATAAACATGTTAGGGTTGGCAGGGTGGTAGAGGGTAGACAGTAACAAGGCAAAAGAAAACTGAAAAGGGAACCACCAAAATCGATGAGTATCACAGAAGAAGTCTCAGATTTTCTTTCTGCTGAGGAACAATCAGGATAGTTCCCAATGCTTTTTACACAGAGCAAGTGCTCTATGTATCTTTGTTGGATAAATTCTGCTAAGATGATTGTTGGAAGCAAAGGGTTTGAGATAAATGTCAGCAGCCTTTCAAAGTGAGGCAGAGAGGATTAAGACCAAATCCAAATCTTCAGAACTCATTTATAGAAATTATGAAGTCACAAGCTCATCATATCTTCTCTACTTCCTGAAAGGTGGCACCTGAATGGTCAATTGAGTTTAATGGGGATAATAGTTAAACAACAGAAATGGACCATTTTTCTGACAACAGGGAAGAGCTTAACTACTAAGTTTTGGAATTTTGTTAGTTTCTATACCATATCATTTTTGGATGTATACTAAACTATGTAGCAGTAGAAGTGCTAGGCTGTATTCTTTTGAACTTTTTTTTTTATGAAACAGAATCTCACTGTGTAGTTCAGGCTGGCCTTGGACTCACTATATAGCCCAGGCTGGCCTCAAACTCACAGCGATCCTCCTGCCTTGGCCTACCAAATTCTGGGGTTCCAAGCGTGCATCACCAAACCTGGCCTTCTTTTTAACTTTTTGAGGAACCATGAAATGTTTTCCACAGCAGCTGTACCATTTTGCATTTCCATCAGCCACACAGGGTTCCAATTTCTCCACTTCCTTTTTGTGTGTGTTTGGCAGGAGATAGCCGTCAAAGTGAGTGTGAAGTGGTATCTCACTGTAGTTTTGATTTGCATTTTCCTAATGATACTGAGCATGTCATCATAATGCTTTTTGGTTACTTGTATATCTTCTTTGAAGAAAGTCTATTCATATCCTTTGGCCATTTCTGAATTGGGTTGTTTTGTTCTTGCTGGGCTGTAGGAGTTCTTTACATATACTGGATATTAATCCTTTATCAGAATATGATTTGCAAATACTTTCTCCCATTCTGTGGATTCTCTGTTCATTTTCTTGAAGGTATCCTCAATTTTTTTTAAAATTTTGAAGTCCAGTGTTTTATTTTTTGCTTTTATTACCGGTGGTTTCAATGTCATACTTAAGCAGTCATTGCCAAATTCAAGGCCGTAAAGGCTTCCCCCATGTTTTCTTTTAAGAATTTTATAGTGTTAAAGGAACACGCATTTTTGCTTCTGTCTCTCATGATGTTTCTTCCCAATAAAATCTATTTTTGTTTCTTTGCCTCGTGGATCCTCCTTTCCCTTGGGCCCAGTTTCTGCCTCCAGTGAAGTTCAGTGCCAAGACAACTGGACAGGACCATCTGGGTGCAGGACTCGGGTCTGGTGGACTCTGCCCATGGCCGCTAGGGAGGCGATGTGCTGGGCCGAGTGCCCGGAGCAGGTGGCAAGGCAGGTCGAGGTGACACGGGCACCCTGTGCACACCCACCACCCCGAGCAGCTGTCTTTCTCGCTCTCTCTCTCTCCTCTCTCCTCTCTTTCTTCTCTCTCTCTCTCTCCTATTCTTTGCTTTGCTTTGCTTTCTTTTTAGGAAGGCCTTTTGCATGAGCTAAATTCCCATCCCCTTTTAAATTTTTTATTTTGACGCGCTTTTACCAAGTAGTTAAATAGCCCAGCAGGGCTTGAACTTGTGATCCTCTTGCCTCAGCCTCCCAGAGTGCTCGGGTTATATCATCAACCTCTTAATTATGCTTTTACACAGGTAACAACATTAGTCATGATGCTAGAATGGGGTTCTCAATATTTTCCTTATGTCAACTGCATGACGTCTTGAGCCTAGCTGAGAAAAGAATGTGGATTATTCCACACTGAATCAACTAAGTTTCTTCCAGTGAGCTCAGCAGTGGCTGTTCTGTGACCTCAGCATTGTAGCTTGAATTTGTCTTCAGTCTTGGCTTCTGCCTTAGCTCAGCCTCATACCTCCAGGAACAGTGCAAAAGCCATTATGTTGGCTTTTCCTGAGAACTTAGGAACATATTTGTCCCATTTCAATCCCTTTCTCATGATGTTCATGACTATTCAAACTATCAGAAGCACAATTTTAAAATATGCACTCTCTCTTTTTTAGATTACCAAAAAAGTGACGTCAGAAATACTGTTAATATTTCTTGGCTTCAAGGTAATATTCCACAGTGACAGGGGAAAATGTGGAGACAAAATTTGCAAAGACTATTATATAAGGTAAAATGGAAGAGTTACACAGCATAGAATACGTCAGTACAAAGATGATCTCTCAGCTAAGAGAAAAAGGAAATGACTCAAATATATTGGCCAAGATATCAGACTCTTGTTTCTAATATTGTCTAAGATCATAGATTAACTCTTTGGAGCATTATGTGAAGACTTTATAGACACTAGCAGCCATACAAGATCCTTTTTGAAAGCATCAGGCAGCAGATAAGAGTCTAATCTACTCAGATTTTTAGAACCAAAAGAGTAGTTCCAAGGTTATCTCCCTGACAAATGAGCATAGATGATGAAGTCATTATGACTTGAAGTCATGAGAGACAAAGTCTTTCTTAAATAAACATTTAATAGGAAACCCCAGCCTGGATGAACATTCGGAGAATTAGAGAATACTTGCATCAATAACCATCTGCAAAGTAAGGATGGAGATATCTCTTTAATATAAGCAACTCACAAGAAATGGCTAAACAATTCTCTTTAGTTATTAATTTTAAAGAACTTGGAAGCCTTCAGGAAATACTGAGTAAAAATAAGTAGGGTATCAAAATTTAAACAATGGTTCAGATGACTCTCCAAAAATGTCAAAACCTCATATTTTTATGTATTCATGTATGAATTGGGAAATTTTACAGGGTTCAGAGATGTCTGTTCATTTTTTAAACAAGGGAGCTCTCCTTTTTAAGTCTGGCTTAAAAATTTAGATTTTAGACTGATACAGAAACTTTAGGACTGGGGGTATTAGCCTAGTGGCAGAGCATTTGCCTGGCAGGCATGAGGCTCTGTGTTCAGTCCCCAGCACCACAAGCTTCCCGCCCACCAGAAAAAAAAAGACTCATTATAAGAAGCAATTCCTGTCTCATATGGGATTTTAATCAACTCCTTACTGCCTCTCAACAGCCACTGATTTGCCTGCTGCACTTCCCAGCAAGACTGTTGTATGCACACTCCACTCTTCTCAGGAGTCCTTGCCTTGTTCACCATTGGTGATATCTATACTTCTCCATGGGCTGTTTTCTCTGCTGGAATTCCCCTCTGCAGTCCCACCTGGAAAACTACTCTCCATCTTTCGAAGCTCAGGGCCCAGTCCCTAGACAAATGACGAAGTAAGAGGGCTAGCACACACTGGGAGATACCACAAGAGGGCAAAGACCACAGAAATGGCAAAGGCCTAAGAACTTTGTGCTTTTAATTTAAAAGTCTCCTTGTAGCTCTGCATGAATTTGAGGGAAGGAAAAGGATTTTTAACCTTAGATCTAGAGCTTAAAAGGACACCTACTGTAAGTTTTTACTGTATTTAACACTTCCTGAATATGGCAACTGTTCTCCTCTATGGAGTTTAGGTTGGTTTATGAAGCAGAACAAACAAATTCCCATACCAAAACCTCCTCCTCAGAAAGTGTTTCCAAATGGAACAGATAATTGCTGCTACTTCCACTCAGCTCTGAGAAGATTCAGGAAGACCAGATCCCCTAAAAGTTTAGCCAGCATTGGCCTAGTTTGCTTGAGTCCTGTTCAAAAGATATTAGGAAAGATAGATGTGCACCTATACAAGTAAATGAACATATGCTGTACAAAATGATGTGGTGGTTTCTCAGAAAGTGAACTCTAGCATTATCATATGACCCATCGGTTTCACTCCTAGGTGTATTCAAATTTTCCATTTGGACACAGATACTCAATTACTTATACACAAATGTTCATAGAAGCCCTACTTACAGTAACCCAAGGATGGAAATAACTGAAACATCCATAAGCAGATGAAAGGTTACACAAAATTTCTGTACAATGGAATATTATTCAACCAAAAAAGGAATGGAGTACTCAAATAAGCTATGGCCAGTATGAACCTTGAAAACAAATGCAAAGGGAAGGAAGTTGGCAAAAATGAAACATATTTGTTTGCAATACCAAGAATGAACAAATTCATAGAAACAAATGGACCGGTGGTTGTGAAAGGCTGGAGGAAATGGGGAATGGGAATTGTTTGCTAATGCGCTCAGGGTTTTTTTTAAGGGGAATGTTTCAGAACTAGAGGCGATAGTTGCACATATTGCGAATATACTAAAAAATCCAACTGAGTTGTGCACCTTAAAATGACTAATTTTTTTGTTATATAAATTTTACCTCAATGAGAACACACACACACACACACACACACATACACACACACACACACATTTCAATACCCAAAAGTTATAGAGGCCCAGAAGCAAGAGGATAACCCTAAATACAGGTTGCAATGCCAATTTCCAAAGACCTTTTTCTATTTCAATTTAATGTCAAGAAACAGAACTGTAAAAAGTATCTCAAAACTAATCTCCCAGCAACTCTGTTCTTGGA